TTCTCGACTAAACCCATGTCCCATAGTTTTATTAACATATTCTCGACTAAACCCATGTCCCATAGTTTTATTAACATACTCTCGACTAAACCCATGTTCCATAGTTTTATTAACATACTCTCGATTAAACCCATGTCCCATAGTTTATTAACACACTCTCGACTAAACCCATGTCCCATAGTTTTATTAACATACTCTCGAAAAACCCATTTCTCATAGTTTTTTAACATTATCTCGACTAAGCTTGACATAGTATGGATTGGACACTAAATTTGCTACACATGAAAGTGACACAAAGTGTTATAGTATCACGTGATGAGAGTAATAAAATTACTGCCCATTCTCCCAGTGGGACAGCGGTAAGTTTATGGACTTACAATGTTACATTCCGGGGCTCGATTCCCCACGGAGGATATAATAGATAATAGTCCAATAGCCCAATATTCAACAAAAACAAGAATAATGTGATGTGGTCAAAAATAGACCTCTAACCTTAAGTATTGTCAATCTTCATGACAAAAATAAGAAAGGTACAGCTTCAAGTTGACCACATAATAAAGTTTAACAATTGGTTGGCTGGGCGTGGCCTCAATGACTAACTTGCCTGAAATGTGAATAGGAAGGTTTATGTTTCACATTCCGTTGCCACAAAACCCCACTCTTCACTTTGGAGCTATATTTGCATTATAAGAGTGACAGTCAAATCCCATTACTCGGTCAAACAACAGCTGGCGGTAGGTGCTCTTGATTATCTGCCTTCCACCTAGTCTATTAGTTTAAAACTAGCGGCGGCTAGGAGCAGATAGCGTTTGTGTAAATTTGCGCAAAAGTTCTAAATAAGCAAACAATAAAATTGGTGCAGATATAGTAACACTAAGTCCCCCGGGGATTCAGCGGTAAGTCTTGGGACTTACAACGTTAAAATCAGGGGTTCGATTCCCCTCGGTGGACACAGTAGATAGCTCGAGGTGACTTTGCTATAACAAAACACAGTAACAGTAATAAATATAAATTTAGTAATTTAATTACGGAAGCTTATATTTTATAATTAATGCTTTTTAAAACATTTTTTTGTGAGATACAATAATTGTACGGTAAAAGTCTATTGAGTCTTTTATAGAAATTTTATCACTGACAATATAAAGAATCAATGTAAAATAGCAAGGGAAACTAGTAGTGGTTAATGAAAAGCGTGACAAAAACAAGGAAGTAAGGAGAAGTACTGACAGCGGAGAGATAACAAATAGTTGGAGAAAGTATAGTGAGTGTAAGGAAGAAAGAATGATAAGGGAAAATCTGGTGAGAGTGTATGAAAGAGAGACAAATAGTAAAAATGGTGAGTATGTGAGAGAGAAAGAGAAAAGAAAGATTAGACAGGGAAAATGTCGATGCTATATGAATTAAACGAATAATGTTCTAAGAGTTAGGGAAACTATAGTGAAGATGTGAAGGGAAAGCGGTAAAATGTGGAAGATAAAGAAAGATATGGTAAGAATATATGGAAGTATCGGGATAAGAATAATATAAAATCTGGTGAGGAAAAATATTGTGAAGATGAAAAGAAAAAGAGGGATGGTGTGAATGGTACTAGTACTAAGGATCAAGAAAGATGGGGGGAAATAAATATCAAAATAATGGAAAATATGGTAAGAAAATTATTGAAAAGCAAAAAAGGATGGTAAATTAAACTATGGTAAGAACATAAAGGGGCAGAACGCTAAGGTAAAATATGGTAAGAACATAAGGGGAGGGGGAAACAGAAAGGTAAGGGCAAGCATGATAAGAACATAAAGGTAGGGGGAAAGCAGAATACTATGAATTTCTAAAGCTTTTCAACGTGGATAGATGAGGCTGGAGCAGTAAACACAAATATACCCCAAGTCTTACCTTGATTATGTCGACTATTTAGGTAGTCTTCCTTACAAATGAAACACTTTTCATCCAGAACGTACAGTTCTTCTCCTGTTGACAGCTGTTTCCTGCACATCATGCACGTGAAACATTTAAGGTGAAAGACCTTATTACGAGCTCTTCGGACGAGGTCTGTGGGGGATATCCCCTGACTACAACCAGTACATTTGGTCCCAAACCGCCTAAAAAAAAAGAAAATCAATTATTAAAGTAAACTCTTAATTTTTGCAAGTTAAAGCTTTTGTGTGTTAATATTCAAAAGGAGTTTATTACTGTCGAAGAACCAGTAAAAACCAGAAGGCTAAAACTACACAAAATTAAAAAAATTACAAAGAAAGTACTTCTGTGATAAAAGTACAAGATGATTAACGACACTTTAACATGGATTAAGAAACTTTGGAATTAAAATGAGCCCGAAATACACCAGTTTATCAGATAAGATTCAACGTCACTCGAACAAACTTCACATGACAGAATTTGAACATTTCTGTTACCCTTTACAATTATAAACAATCACAACTGAAACAGCGAGAATCAACTTCTGTCATTTTGCTGTAATTCAACGTGTGTTTTGTGGGCGAAATGACTTGCTATGAACAGATGTGGTACATCAATAATGAACAACGTAATAAACATATATGGTGTTTAAAGTACTTTGGGGCTAAATGACTTGGTGTGAACTGATGTGGTACTCAATAATGAACGACGTAATAAACATATATGGTGTTTAAAGTATTTTGGGGCTAAATGACTTGGTGTGAACTGATGTGGTACATCAATAATGAACGATCTAATAAACACCTCTTAAAAGAGAACATTTCCGTTATTTATAACTACAAGAGTTTAATGTGAACATTCTAAGTAACTTGGTCTTTCTGGGACTAAAGTAATATACTTATCTAGGTAGTAGTGTTTGTTTGTTTGTTATTAAGCACAAAGCTACACAAAGGGCTATCTGTGCTCTGCCCACCATGGGTATTGAAACCCGGTTTCTAACGGTGTAAGTCCGCAGACATACCGCTGTGCCACTGGGGGACAGGTAGTAGTGTGTAAATATTTTTTTATGTGTTTCAAAACAAGCCTGTTTTTTAAATGAGTTCTGGGTTACAACTCTAAACTATCTTATGTCCATATATATATACACATATATTAAACTACTATATATAAGCAGATGTCATCATAAAGTAGTAAATAGCTCAAAATATTCTGACGAAATACTAGTTTGAATGGTTTTAAGACTCCCAGTTCTACCCAAGCATAAGGGTTATATGTGTAATGAACCGGAAATTGCAATTCTATCACAATTAAATACATTAATTAGTCAATATCTGTAAGGTCAAAAGTTGCAGATGTACATCAGTAAAGACAACACACACAATGCATAAATACAGTGAAAATAGGAAATTCAACGAGACAGCAGAAATTGACAAATCTGAAGGTTATTTGATGACCTACTTAATCTTCTTACCTCTGCTAATCCCTTGCTAAACGACCGAGTCGCAGGTGTTAGTTACAGGTTTGAGTGTGAGCCTTCTGAAAACACAGACATCAGTGTGCCACATGCAAATGATCTACATTTTTTTTGCTCCTAATTTTGTTCTTAATTTTCTTAACTACCATGCGAAATCAACCAAGAAAATTACTCGAGTTTGGGATTATCTTGCTAGGTAGAGTAACAAGGTAAATCTAAAGATGCATTCAGTTAGGTAATAATATATTTAAGCCTAGTTTTTAATTTTATAAGATTTTAATAAAAAGGCTTATAAGAAGTAGTATAAGTCATAGAACTAGTAAAAGGACTCCTTCTGTATAAAAGTATTGGAGTTTAGTTTAGTTTATATAAAAGGACTAGAAAGGCTTAGTCAAGTAGTCTACGTCAAGTTTAGTTAAAAGGACGGGAAAGGCTTAGTCAAGTAGTTTAAGTCAAGTTTAGTTAAAAGGACGGGAAAGGCTTAGTCAAGTAG